GTCAACAATTGTTTGTTTGTTAACTCGTCAATATATATTCAAATTCGAATTCCAATTCATTGGGAAGTAAGTGCGGTGAGGAAGTAATTGGTTTCTAGTTTAGTTTTTTGTTGATTACTCGGGAAGTATTTGTGATATTAGTGTAATTCTTTCATCAGTAGATGGGTAATTAAATTGTTTATTAATATGTGTTTATATATTGGTGTTTGTTGTGTTAGTTAAATAGTTATTAACAATTAAAGTTGAAAGTTTAAAATTTTTGATTGAATTTTTAGAGTTGATAGAAATTTGTTTATAACTTTTGATTGAAAATAGATATCATTGTGAACTTTGCAGGATTATATTAAGAATTTAATGATTGATTGATTTGTGAAGAAATATTTGAAATTTATTGATTAGTTTTTAAGTTATTAACAAAAAACTAAACAATTTCAACACAATTGGTTTTTATTTCAGATGCATATCGATAATTCATTTGGTAATTAGTGAATAACTCGAAAACTAATTAAGATATTACGATAATTCTTTCATAAATATATTCCCAATTAAATTCTACGTTTAACTGTTAAAAGAGTTTGTTATTCAAATGTTTAAACAAAAAGTTATTAACAATTAAAGTTTAAATATCTAAAAAATGTATAAAGTTGATATTTATAAAGTTGACACAAATTAGTCTGTATCTTTTGATATAAAAGAGCTATCAACAAAATCTTTCCACAGTTTCATTCAGAATTTAATACTTGATAACGTTATTAAATAATAATCAGAATATATTAATTAGGGTTCCTGTTATTAACAAGAAACAAAATTATTGCCTAACCTTTTAACGCTCACCTTTTAGACGCATCGTCATTAAATTAATTAATAACGCATAACCTAATCATCCTAATCAAATAATTCTTTGACAAACATATACCCAATTAAATTCTACATCTAATAGTTAAAAAATGTTGTTAATACCATTATTAAACAAAAAGTTATAAACAAATAAAATTAAATTTTAATAAATTTACTCAAAATTTTGATAAAAACATGATAACAACACAAACCAACCAAAAATATATAAACAATTTATCCCAGAATAGATTACTAAAAAAATAATTTAAAAACTGCAATACTTTTCGAGTAATTAACAAAAAACTAAAAGAAAACAGATTAAAATCCAAAGATTAAAGTTTGCCTACATTTAATTAAAACTAGTCCAAAGTTAAATGAGTCACAAACAAGTGTAGACTGTAGTTGATTCATTTAATTAATTTTTTAACGCTTAATTAACCATGAATACAAGGTGAAAACACCGAAAATAATTAAGAAGTTTAATTTAATAGTTTAATTACTATTATGTAAAGCAATCAAAACACTGATTATTGTTTTCCTCAATTATGAATCACACAAAATTAATTAACAATTACATCTTAATTTCACTTATGAAATATATTCATGTATATCCACGTAATGCGCATGCGCGGTAGCGCAGAACTTGTCCCGACACCATTTTAACAGCTATTAAATATATTTTGATAAATTTGTGAGTGAAAATAAATGAATAATAATAAAATGTTTACTATAAGTTAATTTTTGCAATTATTAATAATAATTTATTGTAAACATTGTGTGAAATATGCACGAAATAAAAACATTGAGTAATTATGCGCAATTTATTTATAGCATTCGCGATAAGCGGAAGTTTTGATTCGCTTGTCGTTGCAATGGTGTCATATGGGTTAATCACGACAAGCAACAAATAAAATGTGGAAAAATTACAATGTTTAAGTGATTAATGCAATATTTAATGGGAAAATGTACAAGTTTTATGTTTTTTAAACTTTAAAAATCGATAACTAATAAACTATTTGTTATAAATAAAAATTCTTTCGCTAGGTTATAAATTGTTTATTTATTTATCATAATATGCTGATTTTATCAAAATATGACTATTTGTTTAGTAGTTATTTAAGTTTTTGTAAAATTTTATTTGGAAAAAAGTGCAATTTTTCAATGTTTTAAACTTTAAAAATCGATAAATAAAAAACTATTAATTATAAATGAAAAATTCTTTCACTATGTTATGTAGTGATTATTTATTTATAATAATTTCTTTGTTTCATTAAAATTCATCGTTTAGTTGAGTCATAATTTTAGTTCTTGTAAAATTATTACTTTTTACTAGAAAAAATCAATACGAGCTTTTCACTGTTTCAACTTTAAACTATTATAATTTTGTAATTATTTATTTAATGTGAAAATTTTCTGTGGTAAATAATAAACTTATTATTATACTTTCATAATTTGTTTAGTTTGTGTATTTGTCACGTTTAGTTTAGTCACAAATTTAGATTTTGTAAAATAATTCATTAATTATTCATATTTTCACTTTTTTACTTTTAAATCCCAATAAATAAAAAACTATAAATTATAACCAAAATATTTCTTTTGTATTAAATGCAGAATTTATCCCTCTTTCATAATTAGTTTATTTTATCTAATTTGGATTATTGGTTTAGCAATAAATTACTATTTACTAAACAAAAACTTTTTGGTTTAAACTTTTGATTTCATTCTATCAACTTTAAAAATTAATAACAAATCAACCAATAAACATAACTTAAAATTTCTTTCATTATCAAACCCACAATTTATCAATCTATTTATCCACATTTATTTCATCAAAAAAAATCACATTAATCAAAACAAAAATTCTCATCATCTCAACTTTAAACATTAATAACAATCAAACCAATTAACATAACCCCAAAATTTTTCCACCAAAACCCCAACAATTCACCCCTCCATCATCCCAAACCTAAAACTCTTATCACCTAATCAACTTACGCCGTTAATCACCAAAAATGCAACAAATATCCATTCAAGTGTAATCCAAGGTCAAAACAAACAATTTCACACGCCTGCAGCACTCGAAACCCTCCGAAACACACAACCAAGTAGTCAAACACTAATTAAGTACACAATTACGTGGAATTCCACGAATTTCACGCGTATATCACTAAAATTTCAGCAATCCGCGTGCACATCCACTCGCTGCTGTGTTTGACAGCGCGAAAAACCCGGCGAGCACAATGATAACCACCGCATCACCACTGAAATCCGGCAACACCGCTCGTCCTCCATCTTGCTTCATGGTCGGCACGAGACGCGTCGGCAGCGAACCTCATTCACTCATTACAGTCATCATATTTCACTGATTCACTCATTGCGCAGCGCAACCAACACTTTTCAACGTATTTCAGGTAAAAATCGCTTGTTTTTAAATAAAAATTCACTTTTACGTTGAGGTTATGTTGATAGGGAATACTAGTTGTCGATTGAGGTTAAATCTGACAGTTTTGAAGGGTTTTTGACGGTTTAAACGCATTTCCAGTGGCGTGATGCGTACGAATTGAAGGTATTCGATGGACTATGAGCGTTGCGCGCCCGTCGGACAGCGATTAATTACGAAATTAAAGCCGTCGTCACGCACGCATCGAGTCGGGTCGCGATGTTCGGCGGTCGCGTGTGTCTCGTCGACTACCAGACGCCATGCTGATGGATGGACGCGAGGCGACGCGCGCGCGCGCTGCTGAATTGTTTGGTCGAAGTCGGAGTACATTACCACAGTTACGAGCATTACGGGTGCTTGGCGTGTACTTGCGGCTATTTGTAACGAGACTGACAAATCGTACGTAATTCGGATGCGTTGTGTGTCGCTGTGTAGCATGATTGGCGGCGGGTGTGAGTGTGAAGTTGAAATGGAAGAAAGTTTGGTAAGAGAGTTTGAGGTTAGTGAAGTTTACATGCGGATAGTTTTTTATTTTGAAGAGGTTTTTGAGTTTGGTTTGGTGTGGTGTGTAGAGAATTTAATTATCTTTAAAATGAGGTATTATTTGTTTATATTGAGTTATTAGTTTGGTTGGAATTAATTAAAAACTCAGTGGAATGATTTTGAGTGTTTGTTTTTGTAGTAGCAACTTTGAAATCAAATAACTCCGTAAGTAATCATTAGTTTTTAACCAACTTGATTGTACTTGATAGAGTAATTATATATTTATAGAATAGCGTTTAATTCGTTTAAATCGGATGATTAGTTTAGACGTAATTAAATAATTAGTAAACAAAAACGTTTTGCACTTCTTCAAAATTCTTTAAATATCAATATCGATTTTTAAACTTTAATATTTCAAGAACTATATGAGGATTTTCCAATTTTCTTGCGTTGTTATATAGAATAAGTAAGTACCTTTAAAATAACGTATGACTTATTAAAATCAAACAATTAGTTTGGTCAGAATTAATTAAAAACCAAAGAAAATTATTTTTTGTGTTAATTTTTGAAGTTGCAACTTTAAAGTCAAATAACTCCGAAACTAATAATTATTTTTAAACCAACTAAATTGCAATTGATAAAGTAATTATATATTTATACAATAACGTTTAATTCATCAAAATTGGACTATTAGTTTACTCGCAATTAATTAATTACTAACCGCAAACTTTTTAAATATTTTCGATATATTTTAAATTAAAAACCAAACTTTAAACATGAATAACTCCATAAATATAAACAATAAACAAACTTTTCAAATTTCATATTATAAAGCAATAATTTCCCAATCCGAAAACATTTCGCTTATCAAATTTGAATAATTACTTCAGCCACAATTAATTATTTCGTAATTTTTTGCACAAAAACAACATTTTTATAAACTTTCAACTTTAAACTTAAATTAAACAATAACTAATAAACATAAACAATTTTTCTCTTCACATATAAATAACCACATTATGCAGTTATCACTCCCAATTAATTTTATCATAATAAATTGATTACATTCCTCGTAATTCGTCATTTTTCTAAATTTATCCCCAGGGTCATCAATGGCATCGTTAAAATTCCGAAAAATTATGCATATCGCGTTAAATAATGCAGAAAATTCATTCGAGCGGATTTATTTCTGGAATGCTGAATGTATGCATGCACACGCACGCAACGTATTTGTACTTACTGTGCTCGGTACACTCGTCACGACGCGCTGATGATGACAATAACCCAAATTGCGGCGGCGATCATCGATTCAGCGCGCTATCACCAAGCCACCCGCGATGATTATACACTTGGGGATACGCTGTGGAGGCGGCGGGTGAGAAATTCGGCGTGGTTGAAGGCGAAGGCACTGTTTGTCGCAGGTGAGTCGATCATTTCCAGCGGAAATCGCGCGGTTGGCAGGCGACACACGAACGAAACGAACAAAACATCATCATCGGCGTCGGTGGCACGCACTCGCAGGTATTTGTTTTTCTGGCGACGTCACGACGCGCGCCATGCGCAGGCGGCAGCGGTGATATTGGCCTGGTGAAGGGCGTGACAATGTATGCAACACACAACGCGAGAAATGATTGTGATATTTTGGTAGTGAATTATTCGTGAAGTATTTGAGGGATTTTAGTGGGTGATAAGTGAAATTGTGGGGTTTTAATAGGGTTTCAGGAAATATATAAGATGTTTATTGTAAAATTAATGGTTATATACTTTTTTGATAGTTTTTTGGAAGTGTGTATGGAGAAATGTTTAAAAATTGTGTTTTTTTGTAACTTTGAGTTTGACATCAAATAATTTAGTAAGAAATGAAGATATTTTAACAAGTTATACATCAAATTAAAGGTAATTTAATACTCTTTTAGAAAATATACAAGATGTTCACTGTGAAATTAATAGTTATATACTTTTTTGATAGTTTTTTAAAGATGTGTTTGGTGAAATGTTCAAAAATTGATTTTTCTGTAAGTTTGACTTTGACATCATATAAATTAATAACCAATAAAGATTTTTAAACAACTTATACATCAAATTAAAGGGAATTTAATAATCTATCAGAATATTTTTATAGTTTTGTAATAATATTTATAGTTAATTATTTATAGCGATTTAAAATACTTGTGTTTTTTTGAAACATTTAAAAACTTAAAAAAATAACCTCAACTTTAACTCGCAATAATGACCAAACTAATTATCACACAATATCAACCAATACATCAATTTGTAGAGAATTTAATCACCTTTCAAATGATATCAATATCGACCATATTAAAACCTTCAAAATACCATTTTTGAACAATTTTTATTAAAAATCACAAAATAACAATTTTTATCATGAATTTTTCTCATAAATTTCATATTAAAAGTAAAATAAATACAATTATATAGTACTCTCGCTGGAACTAAGCATACCAGCTATACACGCAGTGGTGAAACACACAATCGTCCCAGAAACAAAGGCGCGAACCACATGTTGCGTCACCAATCCAGTTTTATGCGGAATTAAGGTACTCAGCGCCGAAATCATCACTCCCATGGATCCAGGATTCGCAAAACCACACAGGGCGAATGTTGTAATAATTCTTGACCTTGGCTATAACCAAAAATACTCAAATTTAATAAAATTAACCTCAAAATCAAAAAATTGAATTTTTTTTCAAAAATTGTTTTCTTACCGAAATATCAGCGTCTTTGAACTGTTGGAAGGCAGCAAATTCATTCACCATGGTCTTCAGACCGATGAGTTTGCCCACAGTTTGACATTCATCCCAGGGAACGCCCAGAAGAAAGCTCACAGGCATGAATATATAACCCATTAGTAATTCGACGGACCAAATTTCTTCTGGGCCGGTGAAACCGACGAGCATGCCCATCCAGCCTAAGACTCCGTTGATGAAGTATACTGTGGCGATGAAGGCGATTAGATTCGCGATGATTCCAAGGACGATTTGGGTTGCTTGGCATGCGCCTTGACTCGCTGCGTCTAGTACTGAAGAATATTCACTGGAATTTTTAATTGTGAGTTTAGTATTGGATTATTTGGGTATGGAAAGAGGTATGGGGATGTGTTATATATCAAATTATAGGTAATTCAATTGGATATCAGAGTATGTGAGATTATTGTTGGTTATTTTTAATTTTGTGTTGTTTTTAGAGGTTTTAATAATTTGTGTTTTTTAAAGAAGAAAAATTTAGGGTTAATTTTACTTTGTGATAACTTTTAAAATTTTTGGAGGATTTTTATGAAATTTGCGGCATTTGATAGAGAATTTAATTGGCTTTAAAAATATATATGATTTGTTTAGATATAAATAAGATAAATACCAAAATTTTGCCGTTTTTTGAAAATTTGTCGACGAAACTATTTTTTCATCTGAAAATTTTTAGTTGTAACTTCACTTTGCGATAACTTTTAAAGTTTTTAAAGGATTTTTACCAAATTTTCAGTATTTGATAGAGAATTTCTTCCTCTTTTAAAATATATATAATTTGTTAAGATAAAAGTAAGGTAAATGCCCTAATCTTGCTATTTTTAAAATTATGTCCACAAAAATATTTTTTAACCTAAAAATTTTTACTTTCAATTTCATTACACAATAACTTTTGTACTTTTGCAATAAATTTGATCAAATAAACGGCATTTGGAAGAGAATTTAATCCCCTTTCAAAATATATATAACTTGCCTCGATAACAACTACAAAAACCCCCAAATTTTTCATTTTTCTTAAAATTTTTCCAAAAAAAATTTACTTTAACCTAAAAATTCAATTTATCACTTACGATTCAGCCATCCCAATAGTCTCCTCATTCAAAACCGTCTCCTCTTCTTCAGGCAGCATCAATTTACTATACATTAACCCAGCGGGGGCGGCCATAACACTGGCAGTGATCAAATGTGCGGCGTTCGCGCCGAAGTCAATGTACGCCGCCAGCACTGTGCCGGAAACGGAAGCGAAGCCATTCGTCATCACTGAATGCAGTTCTGAACCCGTAAGGTCCTTCAGATATGGCTTCAGCAGCAGTGGTGCTTCACTCTGTCCGAGGAAAATATTCGCCGCGGCGTTGACACTTTCGCAAATCGATGTGCCCATCACGCCTTGCAGCAGCAAGCCGAGATTAAGGATGATTTTCTGCATGATGCCCAAGTGATAGAGGATGTTGATCATGAATCCAAGGAAGTAGATGGTTGAAATCGCCTTTGGAGGAAAGAAAATAGAAATTGTGTTAGTTTTAGTACCTGGAGCGACATCTATGAGAGATGTGTGGAGTTATTATGGGAGATTAATGTTATTTTTGAGGTGTTACTTTAAGATAGGATTATTCGATGATCCTTTGAGGTATTTAAACCGGAAATGTGTCAAATTATAGATAATTTAATTATCTTTAAGATAGTATATATTTGTTTATGTTAAATTTGTTTTATGTATGATTTTTTGTTGATTTAAACATTTTGTGTTTAAAATAATTAAATCAACTTTAACTTTAATTTACTAAATGATTATTAATAATAATTTAATGTTGTGATACATTAAATTTAGATAATTTAATCATCTTTAAGAATATATTAATACTTATTATGTTAGAGTAATGAAAATTGCTTAAAATCAACAAAACGACGTCACGACGCGCGCCATGCGCAGGCGGCAGCGGTGATATTGGCCTGGTGAAGGGCGTGACAATGTATGCAACACACAACGCGTAAAGTGATTGTGATATTTTGAGAGTGAATTATTCGTGAAGTATTTGTGGGATTTATGTGAGTGATGTGTTAAATTGTGGGGAATTTAATTGGGTTTTAGGAAATATATGAGATGTTTATTGTGAAATTAATGGTTATATACCTTTTTGATAGTTTTTTAGAAGTGTGTTTGGTGAAATGTAAAAAAATTGTATTTTTTTGTAAGTTTGATTTTGACATAAAATAATTTAATAAACAAAGAAGATATTTAAACAAATTATATATCAAATTAAAGGGAATTTAATACTCTTTCAGAAAATATATAAGATGTTTATTGTGAAATTAATGGTTATATACTTTTTTGATAGCTTTTTAGAAGTGTGTTTTGTGAAATGTTGAAAAATTGTGTTTTTTTTGTAAATTTTATTTTGACATCATTTAAATTAGAAAATATATAAGATATTTGTTGTGAAATTAATATTTATTTAGTTTTTGAGAATTTTAATGAAGTATGTTTAGTGAAATGTTGAAAAGTTGTGTTTTTTTGTACGTTTGATTTTGACATCATATAAATTAATAAGCAAAGAAGATATTTGAACAAGTTATACATCAAATTAAAGGTAATTTAATACTCTTTTAGAAAATATATAAGATGATTACTGTGAAATTAATAGTTATATACTTTTTTGATAGTTTTTTAAAAATGTGTTTGGTGAAATGTTGAAAAATTGTGTTTTTTTGTAAATTTTATTTTGACATCATTTAAATTAATAACCAAATAACATATTTAAACAAATTATACATAAAATTAAAGGTAATTTAATACTCTTCTAGAAAATATATAAGATGATTACTGTGAAATTAATAGTTATATACTTTTTTGATAGTTTTTAAAAGTGTGTTCGGTGAAATGTTGAAAAATTGATTTTTCTGTAAGTTTGACTTTGACATCATATAAATTAATAACCAATAAAGATTTTTAAACAAATTATACACCAAATTAAAGGGAATTTAATAATCTTTTAGAATATTTTTATACTTTTCTAATTATATTAATAGTTAATTCTTTATAGCGTTTTAAAAACTTTGTGTTTTTGAAAATTTTCAAACTTTAATAATTATACACAACTTTAACTCGCAATAATTAACGAATTAATTATCACACCTACTCCACCAATACATCAAATTAAAGAGAATTTAATTACCTGTTCAATGATATAAATATCAACCATATCAAAACCATCCAAATTGGTTTTTTGAAACTTTTTATTAAAAATCACAAAATAACAATTTTTATCATAAATTTTCTCATAAATTTCATATTAAAATTAAAATAAATACAATTATATAGTACTATCAGTAGAACTAAGCATTCCAGCTATACACGCAGTGGTGAAACACACAATCGTCCCAGAAACAAAAGCGCGAACCACATGTTGCGTCACCAATCCAGTTTTATGCGGAATTAAGGTACTCAACGCCGAAATCATCACTCCCATGGATCCAGGATTTGCAAAACCACACAGGGCGAATGTTGTGATGATCCTTGACCTTGGCTATAACCAAATATACTCAAATTTAATTAAATTAACCTCAAAGTCAGAAAAAATTGATTTTTTTTAAACAAAAATTCTTTTCTTACAGAAATATCAGCGTCTTTGAACTGTTGGAAGGCAGCAAATTCATTCACCATGGTCTTCAGACCAATGAGTTTGCCCACAGTTTGACATTCGTCCCAGGGAACACCCAGAAGGAAGCTGACAGGCATGAATATGTAACCCATTAGTAATTCGACGGACCAAATTTCTTCTGGGCCGGTGAAACCCACGAGCATGCCCATCCAGCCTAAGACTCCGTTGATGAAGTATACTGTGGCGATGAAGGCGATTAGATTCGCGATGATTCCAAGGACGATTTGGGTTGCTTGGCATGCGCCTTGACTCGCTGCGTCTAGTACTGAAGAATATTCGCTGGAATTTTTAGTGGTGAGTTTAGTATTGGAATATTTGGGTATGGAAAGAGGTATGGGGATGGGTTATATATCAAAGTATAGGTAATTTAATTGGCTATTAGGATATGTATGATTCTTGGTGGTTATTTTGAGGTTTGTGCGGTTTTTAGAAGTTTTAAAAATTTGTGTTTTTTTAAGGAGAAAAATTTAGGGTTAAGTTTACTTTGTGATAACTTTTAAAATTTTTGGAGGATTTTTATGAAATTTGCGGCATTTGATAGAGAATTTAATTGGCTTTAAAAATATATATGATTTGTTTACATTAAGATAGGATAAATGTCAAAATTTTGATATTTTTGAAAATTTGTCGACAAAAATATGTTTTAACATAGAAATTTTAGTTGTAATTTCACTTTACGATAACTTTTAAAGTATTTAATAGATTTTTACCAACTTTTCAGTATTTCATAGAGGATTTATTCCTCTTTTAAAGTATATATATATTTTGTTAAGATAAAAACAAGGTAAATGCCCTAATTTTGCTATTTTTGAAAATTATGTCGACGAAAATATTTTTTAACATAAAATTTTTTACTTTCAATTTCATTACACGATAACTTTTGTACTTTTGCAATAAATTTGATCAAATAAACGGCATTTGGAAGAGAATTTAATCCCCTTTCAAAATATATATAACTTGCCTCGATAACAACTACAAAAACCCCAAAATTTTTCACTTTTCTAAAAATTTATCCAAAAAAATTTTACTTTAACCTAAAAAATTCTTGTTTTTACTTACGATTCAGCCATTCCTATAGTCTCTTCATTCAAAACCGTCTCCTCTTCTTCAGGCAGCATCAATTTACTATACATTAACCCAGCGGGGGCGGCCATAACACTGGCAGTGATCAAATGTGCGGCGTTCGCGCCGAAGTCAATGTACGCCGCCAGCACTGTTCCGGAAACGGAAGCGAAGCCATTCGTCATCACCGAATGCAGTTCGGAACCCGTAAGGTCCTTCAGATATGGCTTCAGCAGGAGTGGTGCTTCACTCTGTCCGAGGAATATATTCGCGGCGGCGTTGACACTTTCGCAAATCGATGTGCCCATCACGCCTTGCAGCAACAAGCCGAGATTAAGGATGATTTTCTGCATGATGCCCAAGTGATAGAGGATGTTGATCATGAATCCAAGGAAATAGATGGTTGAGATCGCCTTTGGGAGATAGAAAATAGAAATTGTGTTAGTTTTAGTATATGGCGCGACATCTATGAGTGGTGTGTGGAGTTATTATGGGAGATTAATGTTATTTTTGGGTGGTAAGTTTAAAATAGGATTACTCGATGATCCTTTGAGGTATTTAAACCGGAAATGAGTCAGATTATAAACAATTTAATTATGTTTAAGGTAAAGTGTATTTGTTTATGTTAAATTTGTTTTATGTATGATTTTTTTGTTAATTTAATCATTTTGTGTTTAGAATAATAAAATCAACTTTAACTTTAATTTACTAAATGATTATTAATAGTAATTTAATGTTGTGATACATCAAAGTATAGATAATTTAATCAACTTTACGAATATATAAATATTTATTACGTTAGAGTAATGAAAATTACTTAAAATCAACAAAAACCAAATATTTTGGTGCATAACCTACCAAAGATTAAGGTTATTTTTAGTTGTAATTTTATAATAGGATTACTCTATGATCCTTTGAGGTATTTAAACCGGAAATATGTCAAATTATAGATAATTTAATTATCTTTAAGATAGTATATATTTGATAAACTTATTTTATAACCCATTTTTTGTTGATTTAAACAATTTGTATTTAAAATGTTTAAATCAACTTTAACTTTAATTTACTAAATGATTATTAATAATAATTTTATATTGCAATACATTAAATTATAGAGAATTTAACTATCTTTATGAATATATTTATACTTTTTAGTTTAAACTAATAAAAACTTCTTAAAATCATCAAAAACTAAACAAAAAGAAACAAAAAAAATTATGTTTAACTCACCTTAAAAGCGAAAATCTTCAAATCGTCAACCAAATATTCACCATAAACAAATTTGGAACCCTCCACGGCGTATCCCAAGAATATGGTTACTTTATCACCAGCACACTGGAACATGGCACGTCCTGTGTCCCATCGCAGCGTGAATAAACCAAAAATAAATTGCAAAACTAAGCCGCTGAAGATTGTCCTCCAATTTATCTGTACAATTATAATAACAAATTCAATATTAATAATAATACTAATAATAATAATAGAGCAAATATATTTCGTGTGTTATATGTGTATTCTTACCTTGGTGCGGTTGTTACTCAATAAGAAACCCAAAATAAGAAATACAACTAATCCGCCGGCTGATACCAATCGGTCTGGTTCCTCCCACGTGTCGTAGATCACAAAGGCTGCAATGATTGCTAACACAGCAATCCATGAAATCCATCGGTAAAGCCTTTAAAATAAGAAAAACGTTCAATTTTATTGATTTTATATGAATTTTAAATAAATACATGAAATTATAGGGAATTTAAATACCTTTCAAGATATGTACGTATATAATTTGTTATCAGTACTAATATAGCTTAATCACAGTGTCTAAAGTAACTTCGAAACGAAAATTATTCAAATTTATATGTTTTGCTTTTTTATCTGTCACTACGTCCCTGTTTGAGATAGGTTTTATTGAAATACATCAAATTATAGGGAATTTAATTACCTATCCCTAACTGTTTTTATATAATAAGTTATTAGTATTATTATAGCTTAATTTTGATATGTAAAGTTAGTTTAGCACAAAAATTAAAAAAAATTCTGTTTTTTTATGTTTTTAAGTGTCATTACGGCCCGGTTTGAGATAGATTTTATTGAAATACATCAAATTATAGGGAATTTAATTACCTATTCAAAACTGTATTTATATTTTATGTTATCATTATTATTATTGCTTAATTTTAGCATTAAAAGTTAATTTTGCACAAAAACTAATGAAATTTATGTTTTTTCTGTTTTTATGTGTTATTACGGTCCTGTTTGAGATAGATTTTATTGAAGTACATCAAATTGTAGGAAATTTAATTACCTATCCATAACTGTATTTATACTTTATGTTATCATTATTATTATTGCTTAATTTTAGCATTAAAAGTTAATTTTGCACAAAAACTAATGAAATGTATGTTTTTTCTGTTTTCACGTGTTATTACTGTCCTGTTTGAGGTAGATTTTATTTAAAAACATCAAATTATAGAGAATTTAATTACCTATCCAAACCTGTATTTATATTTTATGTTATCATTATAATTACAGCTTAATTTTGGTATTTAAACTTAGTTTAGCACAAAAATTAAAAAAATTTATAATATTTTCTGTTTTTAACTGTAATTTCGACCCAGTTTGAGCTACATTTCATTGTAATATCTCAAAATATAGAGAATTTAAATACCTTTCAAGATATGCATGCATATATTCACTTATCAGCATAAAAATACCTTAATTATAGTGTTTAAAGTAAATTTATCAAAAAAATGACAAAAATTATGTTTTTCATATCAATATTCAAACGTAAAACATACAATTAATAATAAACTTACTTCTGTTCAAAGATTTGTCTAAGATTCTTCGCTGTAGGATCCACTATCTGATTATAAAATGGCTTCTTTATGTACGGACACCAAACGTAGTTGTAAAAATATCCAAACGCAATGAAAAAGTACAAAACGCACAGAAATCCGAATCCATCACACCACGTATACTCAAAAGGTCCTTTAACACACAAATTACACTCTAAAAATCATCATCTATGCATTTATTAATACTTTACCTCCTTTGTAACCGTAATGTACGCATGCCCAGATGAAATAACCAGTAAATGCCACAAAAAACACCATTTTACTTTATTTTTAAATTAAATATTAAATAATAAATTATAATCACTTTACTTTTAGTTTATTTATGTTTAATGTAGGTTGGGTGTAGCTTTGGGGTGATTTTAGTGTCACTGAATCATTTTTGTATGAATATGTTCAAAATGGCGCACGTGAGGGACAGCAGCACACTCCGACACTTGAACTCAAGCGAATAATTGCAAAATGGCGTGGTGCGGTGAAATTCACAGCGAAAAATTGTATTCTATCACAATTGCGATTAGATTACATCGGTTACAACATGTTAGATTGCTGGCAATATTGTTTTTCTATTGTTGTTATCGCGAATGTAAGGTTGAATAAATCAATTGAGATTTAATTAGCAACATTTCGATTGGCTATTTGATTGGTTGTTAAGTGGGTGTTTCTGTGGGTATATTTACGGTAAATACTTAATTATATGTTGTATTTTAATATTAGAGTATGTTTTTATTAATAATTGTTATGGGAATGTGTTGTTTTTGTTGTTAAAGTTGAAACTTTAAGAAAAATTTAGGAAAATCAAAAGTTTAAGTTTGAGTGGTGATAAAATGAAGACTTTTGAGGTATTTTTTAAATAATGACATCATAAGACGGGGAATTTAATCAGCTATCTGAATATGTATAATAATCTATGGATATTTGTTGATAAATTGGATTAATTTTAGTTTGAAATGTTTATTGTCGTGGATTACTGGCAAGTTTGAAGAAAATTTGTTTTGTTTATAACTTTTTAAATATAATGATTATTTTAATAATAATTACGTAAAAACATTAGGAATTTGTTGTACTTTAACACTAGGTTATGTTCTTTCAGATAATTGTTTAATAAATGTATTATTTTTGTTGTTAAGGTAAAAATTTCAAAAAAATCTAAGAAAATCTAAACTTTCACTTTGACTGTTGATAAAATTAAGACGTTTTAATGTATTTTTAAAGTCATTACGTCATAAAACGGAGAATTTAATTACCTATCAGGGTATATATAATAATCTATGATTATTTATTGATAAATAGGATTAATTTCAATTTATAATGTTTATTGTCGTGGGATTACTGCAAAACTGGAAGAAAACTTTGTTTTGTTTATAACTTTTTAAATATAATAATTATGTTGATAATAACTACATGAAAACTTAAACAATTTATTGTATTTTAACACTATCTAATGTTCTTTTAGATAATTATTAATTAAAAGTGTTATTTTTGTTGTTAAAGTAAAACTTTCATAAAAAATCTCAAAAAATTCAAACTTTTACTTCGAATGATGATAACTCAAAGATGATAAGAGATACTTTTATAACAATCACGTCATTAGACACCCAATTTAATTACCTATCAGAATATGTATAATAATCTAGTGTTATTTGTTGATAAACAGGATTAAAATCGATTTAAAATGTTTATTTCCGTGCGATTTCTGCGAAATTTAAATGATTAATTTATATTTTACTTCTTATCACATTTACCATTAAAATTGTTTCAATAATAGTTGCACAACAACACACTAATCCACTTTGACGTATTAGATATATAAATCTATAAGTAATTCACCGTTTTTTATCACTTAATCAACGTGTAATCGTTCAATGTCCAAAACTAAGTTGATTTCAACGATAAGCACTGCCACTTCATCACCTTAAAGTTGATAAATTTACCGAGAATCTCCTTGAAGTAAGCCATTCATGTTTATTACACAAATCTGGTGCAATTCGGTTGTACTATCAGGTAATTATCATTGAATTAACACTGTGATAAAACAAAACAAGATTTTCTTCATAAAAAATCATTTTTTACTTGTTTTTCGTTGATATTCACAGAATTTATGTTATTTCCGGTAAAATACACGTTTATTTTTTATCTCACGTGATTTATGTACTAATTTATAGTTTAAATAATTGTCTTACTTGGTTTTTTATTGGTTTATTGTGGTTTATGTTTATAATTTCTGTTATTATGGCTGTGGCTTATTAATCTGTTGCATAATATAAGATTTCTAGGCAATTAATACAAGTCAAGGTAATGCTGGCAGCAGGTAACATCGCAGACTGAGTTTGTGGAGTTTAGTAGCAATAAACTTGTGGTATATTGTTGCTATTTCTAAAAAGTGTGTCGTGTTTTGTGTCTGGTGTGGAATTTATAATAGTATTCGGTTACTGTTTAGGTAAGTTTATGCATGTTATATCTTTGTTTGTGTTAGTTTTATGTTGATAAGTTATTGTATCAGTGCAGTAAATTATTTAGAATATATTGGCAAGTAGATTTATTGTTTTTTATTTATTCCTGCGTCTTAAAAAGCGTAAAAATGCTTCAAAAACGTCTTTGATTCTTAATTTTTTAAGGATTAAAGGGTTTTAGCAAGTTATAAACAAATTAGAAGGAATGTCAAATTGTAAAGGAACTCTTCATCTACAAGTTGACGTGCAGAAACCTTAATTAACTGTACAGATTAAAGAGATATTAATTATTTTTCATTTACTTTCTAATGTTTAATTTATGATCAAATTGACATTGTAGCGCCATCTATAAGTCATTTACGTAACAATAATTCAAATTTCCAAAACTAAGTTGATTTCAACGATAAGCACTGCCACTTCATCACCTTAAAGTTGATAAATTTACCGAGAATCTCCTTGAAGTAAGCCATTCATGTTTATTACACAAATCTGGTGCAATTCAGTTGTACTATCAGGTAATAATCATTGAATTAACACTGTGATAAAACAAAACATAATTTTCTTTATAAAAAATCATTTTTAACTTGTTTTTCGTTGATATTCGCAGAATTAATGTGATTTCCGGTGAAATACACGTTTATTTTATATCTCACGTGATTTATGCACTAATTCATAGTTTAAATAATTGTCTTACTTTGTTTTTTATTGGTTTATTGTGGTTTATGTTTATAATTTCTGTTATTATGGCTGTGGCTTATTAATCTGTTGCATAATATAAGATTTCTAGGCAATTAATACGAGTCAAGGTAATGCTGGCAGCAGGTAACATCGCAGACTGACTTTGTGGAGTTTAATAGCAATAAACTTGTGGTATATTGTTGCTATTTCTGAAAAGTGTGTCGTGTTTTGTGTCTGGTGTGGAATTTATAATAGTATTCGGTTACTGTTTAAGTTTATGCATGTTATATCTTTGTTTGTGTTAGTTTTATGTTGATAACTTATTGTATCAGTGCAATACATTATTTAGAATATATTGGCAAGTTGTTTTATTGTTTTTGTTTATTCTAGAGCATTAAAAGAACTAAAAATGTTTCAAAAACGTCTTCAATTTTTCATTTTTTAAGGATTAAAGGCCTTTAGTGAATTATAAACAAATTAGAAAGAAAATAAAGTTGTAAAGAAACTCTTCATCTACATATTGACGCACAGAAACCTTAATTAACTGTATAGATTGACGAGAAATTAATTGTTTTTCATTTACTTTCTAATGTTTAATTTATGATCAAATTGACATTGTAGCGCCATCTGTATGCCATTCACGTAACTATAATTCAAATATTTAAAAAGTTATTCACTATTATCAAGAAAACAAATAAAATTTATATATATTTTTAAAACTACAATTATTTATAATTATTTAAATAACATCTAATTGTAAAAATACATAGTATTTAACAATTTTAATAAAAACAATTAAACACAAATCTAGGGACTTTTTTCTTTTTCCAGTTGGCAACAATCACTTTATAATCATATTTTGACAAAACCGCATAGGTTAGCATCCCGGCAGTTGTTTTGGTTGTTTATTCATTAAAAAATACTAATTTTCCTACTAAAACAACGTGAAAATGGCCCTCAGGACCTTCGGAGACAAACCTCTCAGCTTCCAGCTTGAAGAAAATGGGGAATACTACTGCATTGGCTCAGAGGTAACAAAATAAACAACTTATGTTTTCACTCAACCAAAATCACTCCCAACATAACAATTTTAAATCATATTTATTAATAATAATTAATATATTACACCAGGTGGGTAATTATCTGCGTTTATTCCGCGGATCCCTCTACAAACGTTACCCTGGCATGTTCCGGCGCACAATCAACTACGAAGAAAGAAAACGCCTCATTGAACTTGGCTTAAGTCAACAAGTCTTAGCAAGCAGTGTATCACTGCTCAGATCATCAGAAGTAGAAGATATCATAGAGGGAAATGATGAAAAGTACACACATTCCAGTAAGTTACATCACATTTTATAATATTTCAATAATATTCAGATAAATAATTAAAATATGTGTAAAAATAGTTTCAGTGCATACAGCAGAGCCTCCCATGCCAAGAGAGAGCAAGACTAAGAAGAACACACAATGGGTCCCATCCCTGCCGAATTCCAGCCATCTGGATGCCGTGCCACAAGCGACAACGATCAATCGCAATCGTGTCGCGACGAAAAAAGTGCGCACATTTCCGCTTTGTTTCGACGATAACGAACCGCAGAATCACGTGGAGAATGGTAACCAGAGTGAGATCTTAGTGCCGATTCGTTTGGACATGGAGATTGAGGGACAGAAGCTGAGAGATACTTTCACATGGAATAAAAATGGTATTTAAGTTGTTTATTTTGTTATATAAATTTAATTTAATGTGTTTTTTGTGTTTTTAGAATCTCTTATCACACCAGAGCAGTTTGCTGAGGTGTTATGTGATGATTTAGACTTGAATCCGTTGACGTTCGTGCCGGCGATCTCGCAGGCTATTCGACAACAGTTGGAGGCGTTCCCAAATGAACCACCGGCGGTTATTGAGGATAATACCGATCAGAGGGTTATTATTAAGTTGAATATTCACGTGGGGAATACTTCATTGGTTGATCAGGTATGTTTTCCTGTTTTCTTATTAGAATATTGATTGCATGTCAATTAGTTTTGAAGTTATTGGTAGAAAACTGTGTGTTTTGGATTGTTTTTTGTTAATAAGTCGGGAAGTTTAAGTGGTACGGTGATAGTTTTTACAGAATATGTTCTTTATTAAATTCTGCATCTGCTAATGAAAGAATAAGTCAGATTTAATGAATAATTAAAAAGTTATGGGCAAAAAACTGATATTTTGTGAATATTTTTGCAAATTTGGGATTTTTGTCCGTAATTTTTGTTGGAAACATGTTTTCAATGTAATTATGGTATAATTAGATGCAGAATTAAATTCTTTACCAACTTCAGTCATAATAATTATTGTGTGATGCTTAGATTTCGAGTTATCAACAAAAAACTTGCAAAAAATTGCGATAATAATGCAATGCGTCGATGCTTTTGTTCAGTTTTTCATTGATAACTCAAAAACCAAACAAGTCACCCTGATTATTTTCGCAGATTATATTCTGTAATAAATTCTGCATCTATTAATGACAGAATCATTCAGATTTAATGAATAATTAAAAAGTTATGGGCAAAAACGAATATTTTGCGAAAAATTTTGCAAATTTGCAATTTTTGTCCATAATTATCTTTGGAAACATATTATTATTGCAATTATGATATAATTAGATGCAGAATTAACTCCTTAACCAACTTCAGTCACAATAATTATTATGGAATGCTTAGATTTTGAGTTATCACCAAAAAACCTGCCAAAAAATCTCATTATTATGCAATTTTTCCATGTTTTTGTTCGGTTTTTCATTGATAAGTCAAAAACCAATCAAATCACACTAATTATTTTTACAGAATAAATTCTTTATTAAATTCTGCATCTACTAATGAAAGAATCACTCAGAATTCAATAAATAAAAGCAAAGTTATAAACAAAAAAACTAAAATAAAACTTTTATTGCAGGTTGAATGGGACATGTCACAAAAAGAGAACAACCCCGAACAGTTTGCCAACAAACTCTGCGCTGAACTAGGCCTGGGCGGCGAATTTGTCACCGCAATCGCATATTCCATCCGTGGACAATTATCCTGGCATCAACGCACATATGCATTCAGCGAAGCACCTCTACCAACAGTCGAAGTAACTAAAAATCACTTTTAAAAACACAAAACACAAAATTCTTCATTTTTTAAAATTATTATCCAGGTACCATTCCGAGCACCAAGCGAAACCGACCAATGGGCGCCCTTCATGGAAACCCTCACCGACGCCGAGATGGAGAAGAAGATCCGCGACCAGGACCGCAACACGCGCCGTATCCGCCGACTGGCGAACACGACGCCGGGCTGGTAATGAAATTTTTTTGCTTATTTTATCCGAGTTCGAGTTTAAGTTTAAATCGACATAATTTCTTAAAAAGAAAACCTAGTTCGTTAAGAATGGCGCTGGGCTCGATGCATGCGGCGGCGCCATTTTGTTTTTTCTCACCGACAAAACATCGATTAAACATCTATTGTATTGCAATAGTACGAACGCTTGGTTTTTTCTCTCATAACTGATAACAACAAATTTTGTTTTCCAGCAAGTACAAACCGCCTAGGCATATGATGCTATAAACACACACAAAATACACATTGATTCTCATAATATACAACAACACGCGCACGTTTCATTTACAATTCGCATATTTATCATGTAGGTACAAAATGTACAGTAATTGAGTGTGATGTGTGTTGCCTACATAACGCACACATCCACTAGACTTAGAGCAAGTCAGCATTTAAACAAGCACACAACCGGGGGGAAAACTCACGAGGCGGCCATCTCTTGATAGAAAAGATTAAAAACCTCTACACTAGACTAAGATAAGTTTTTTGTTTCTTTGTTTAGATTTATATAAACCCCAAAGTGTATAACCTCAAAATGTTCTCTGCGTTCAATAACTTAAGTATAAGAATTTCCTTCAAGGTTAAGCAGGTGGTGGTTATAGTAGATGAGCAGGTCCAGTGTAAAATCAGTCGTCGTCGTCGTAGTCCGAGTCGGAGAGCTGCAGGTCATCGTTGAGGATCGTCGGCAGCGATGGCAGCTTCGCCCCGTTGCCATTCACACCGCTTCCGGTTGTTCCCGCACCGCTCGCAGCGCCGCCATTACCAATCAGGTTCATGTTCGCAGACAGACCAGCGTGTCCATTGGAAGCATTCGTCCGCGTGGTGGATTTCCCGTTATCGTCGTGATCCGAGTCGGAGTCGCTCGACGACGAACTGGATGACGAGTCGGACATATCACGCACGGAATTCTCGGAGTCCGATTGGCTGGAGAGGTTCGATTTGTTTACCAGTGTTGATTGTTTAGGTGGCGCTGGTTGTGGTGGCGGTTTCCAACTGTCGTTGATGCTACTTGGTGGTGGATTAGGTGTAGCGTCATGTGGGGCTTCTTCGGGGAAGTCGTCGATGCCGATCATCGGTAGGGAGGCTTCGCCGTTTTGAGGGCGTTCCCGTTTCGGGGATTTGTGCGCCGGTGAGGAGTAGTTGGGCGAGGCGCGATGCGGTGAGTGTTTTGTTGGGTTTGGAAGTTGGGTTATGGCTCGATCTGGGCGGCGTGAGCCGGATGTCACGCGCGTTTTGTTGGATTGGCGCTGGCCGATGGGCGGGGTTTGGGGGCGTGCTGATGTGAGGACATTCGTGGGCGGAGCTGTGGATGATGTGGATGTGTTGGAAGTTGTACTTCTATCACCACGATCTGGAATAGAAAAATTGCATTTAATTTTAGACAAATTGAGATAAATGAGTGGAAATTGCGGCAAATTATAGGGAATTTAATTTTCTATGGGGTTGAGTTTTAAGTGTTTGGTGATTTGAAGTGGAACATTGAGAAAATTAGAATTTTTTGCAAATTTTTGTGGAAAAAACGTAATTTTTGCATAGTTTCATATTTTTTGTTGTAACTTTTTAACAAATTAAGATAAACACTTATAAATTATATCAAAACACGCGTAATTAAATTCTCTATCAAGTGGAGTTGAAAAATTATACTAATTTACACGCGAAAGTAAAGAAATTTGCAATTTTCCTAAATTTTCTCAAATTTTCTAACAATTTGCATTTTTTGCTATAACTTTTAAACAAATTGACACAACAAGTAATAAAACATATCAAATTATAGGAAATTAAATTCTTTATCGAGTCAAACATTAAAACTTTCATAATTTCCAGTGGAAAGTTATGAAAATAACGATTTTCCTAAAATTTTGTAGAAAAAATCTAAACTTTCGCAATATTTCACATTTTTTGTTATAACTTTTTAACAAATTGAGATATACACTTGAAAATGATGTCAAAACACGCGTAATTAAATTCTCTATCAAGTGGAGTATTAAAACTTCACCAAATTCCACGCGAAACGGAAGAAAATTGCAATTTTCCTAAATTTTCTCAAATTTTGCATCAATTTACATTTTCGGCTATAACTTTTAAACAAATCGCAATAATAACATCAAACTAATGCCAAATTAAAGGCAAATAAATTCCCTAACAAATTAACACTTAAAATCTCACAAATTTCAACGGAAAAGTGAAGAAAACTTAAATTTTCTTCAAAACAAAAATTTAAATTTTTCGGCTCGCAAACGTTTTAACCAAACAAAATACGAATTTCTACGCATGAAATATTAATTATACATAATTTATTACCTTGTGGAAGCGGTGGTCGTGTCGTTTCACTCCTAGTCTTCTTCAATTGAATGTTACTAGACAATTTCTCTAGAGTAATCTCCCCAGTGACTCTGTCAATAATGAGGACGCATTCTTTCGTGAACGGGCGATGCGAGCCTTTGAACACCGTCGCCGGAACACCCGCCCCATCCAGATGGGGCACATTCACAGTCACCTGATTGCTTGTGCCGATATCAACAGTTGCAATTTTGTTTATATCCACCGAAGCAGGCTTAAAATCATCTAAAAAACCACCACACATATTACTACATCATAATATCTATCACTTAAACTAAAAATAATATAAATTCAACTTTAAATTGTTTATAAATTAAGGAAAAATGTGTTTAAAAGTGTTTCTTACATCTGACGGCGTGAAAAGCGCCCGATTTATTATTGGTGAAGCTCTGCCCGATCTTCAGCTCGCGCACCTCGGGCCCCAAGCGCAGTTTATCGGCCATCGCAATGCTGGGCTTCACTCCATCGCCTCCTGGAGGTGTTGCGCTGCTCTAGGTGGCTGTTCGTGTCAGTCACTCGTGTTGAGGTTATGTCCCAGCAGATGAGAACGTCGCAGGTGATTTTCGCCTGTGCTTTGCGTTTGTTTAAGTGAATTACGGCGGTGTTGGGCGGTGTACGGCCACCGGGAGCGGCGGGTTACACACTCGGGTTGTGCGCGATTATCACTGGGTAGCTCCCGGACTTAGCAACATATGATTCCACACGTAATAATGCGAAAAAAATCCACAATTATTGACCTACTTTGTACTTTCATATTGAAAGGCAAATCCTTGTATACTGGGCGGCGCACGATGCAACAGTGAATGCAATGTTACAGGTTAGAATTATTTTACTTCCAGGAATTTTGTTGGTACGCTTTATATAATGTAGTTCGTCTTTTGTCCGTTAGATGCGCTGTTGTTGCCTTTAATTTATATACCGTGTGTCCTGCAGTTTAAAACAAAACAAAACTTTAAAATTTTCATACAAAATCAACATTGTACAACATTATTTATTATTTATATAATCAATTTTACATAATTAACTTTATATTACATATAATATTTATTGTTTATAATCAATATTTACTAGTTTTCTTTTTTAGACTCTTTGGACACTGTGTATAATAATTTTTAAAATCCACCACCAGAGGCGCTGTAATCATGCATTAGTTGCATCCTCAGCCGTGAGTTTAAGCCGTGTCGCTCGCATCGCACATTCTTAGCGACCAGCTCGAAGGCCGAAGAGATTTTGTAAATATTGACGTGCAACAAATCGCTGATTACGGCGTTCACGACGCGAGTTTACCTCCACGCGGACGCGCAAATCATCGCCGACACATTCCTCCACCAACCTGAGCATGTAACTACTCCCGGCGGGCGTTTTCACGGAACAATCGGATGTTATTGTCGCGTGTGCGCGCGCCAGCAACGGAACGGGGTTGGGCGGCCATGTTGATGTCTCGATGATGGGCTCGGGCTCGCCGTGCGGCTGTAATGGCAAGTGAATAATCTCAACTCATCACGACATTCGTCTTGAATGCCCGCAAAAGCATCCGCTCAACGCGAGAATTGAATTCGCGGCGTGCATGTGCACATCTACGCTGTGTGCTGTTTGATTCGGTGCGAAACAAAAGTTGTTTGTGCGAAAACAAGTGACACTCGTGTACACCATGGATGAGACGAAGGTGATTTATCATATTGACGATGAGGAGACGCCGTATCTGGTGAAGATACCCATTGGGCCTGATAAGGTGACTCTGGCTGATTTTAAGAACGTGTTGAATCGGCCCAACTATAAATTCTTTTTCAAGTCCATGGATGATGACTTTGGGTGAGTGACCTCAATCATACACAAACAGTATTGTCAAATGAGTTTTTATTGTTTATTGGTAAATTATTTACTGGTAAATAATAATTTATACCAAAAATTATGCAGAATATAATGTAGAATTAAATTTTGAAGGAATTTAAGTGATAATTTGTTTTGTTTTTGAGTTATTTTAATTAAACAAAGGTTTTTTGTTTATAAATTTATGTTTTCTTTGTTTTAGGGTTGTTAAAGAAGAAATTATTGAAGATGGTGCACAATTACCCTGTTTTAATGGGCGTGTCGTCAGTTGGGTAAGTTTTGAAAGATTTTTTTGCACAAAAAACTTGAATATTTTTTTGTTTTTGTTTATAATTTGCCGATAAATTAGTGTAAAATATAAACAATTGCATTAATTTGTAGCTAATTAAATTCTCTATTGATTTGTGTTTTGGTTTTGTACAAATTCAATTAGGAAAGTTATAAAAACGCAGAATTTTGATAAAAAATGATTTTTCATGATTTTTTTTTGTTATAACTTGGGAATAAATTGTCGTATATTGTTTAAATTGCCGTCAAATTATAGTTCATTAAATTCTCCATCGATGAGTATATAATATAAGTTTGATTAAAAGTTCATCAGGAAAGTTATAAAAATTGCAAATATTCATAAAATACTGATATTTTTTCTAATTTTTTGGTATATCTCTTCAATAAATTGCCATAAAATGTTTAAAATTGCATTAAACTATAGCTAATTAAATTCTTCATTGATGTACAAATTAGTTTTATACAAAATACATCGCAAATGTTAGAAAAACGCAAAATTTCGTGAAAATTTGCCGAAAAACGCTGTTTTTTGCACTTTTTTTGTTATATTTTACAAATAAATAGTGATAAAATGATAAGAATAGGACTAAATTGTAGCTAGTTAAGTTCTCTATCGATGAGTATATAACTTTTATTAAAATCTGATAAGAAAAGTTTAAAAAATTGCAAAAATTCATGAAATATCCGCAAAAAACTGATTTTTTGCCATTTTTTAGTATAACTCGTCATTAAATTGCCGTCAAATGTTTAAATTTGCATTAAACTATAGCTAATTAAATTCTTTATTGATATATTAATTAGTTTAACACAAATTTTGCTCGAAAAACGATGAAAATCGCAAATTTCCACCAAAAAACAGTAATTTTTCACCACTTTTCACAACAAAAACTAAAAATTTCACTTTTTCCAGTTGGTGTCTGCTGAAGGCTCAAACCAAAGCGACGGCGGCTCCCAATGCACCGACAGCGTAACCCACTCCAACGAACCCCGTATTCCTCCACACCCCCAACCGCCGGAATCAGTCTGCACCGACACGGAAAGCATCATAAGTTCACGCGCCGGCCGCCGCCACCACAAGTACTCCTCGCGCATGAACGGCCACATGCCGCGCTTATACGAAACCGCGTCCATCGTCAGCTCCGACCTGGAGAGCACCAGCTTCCAGTCGGAGACCACCGGCCGCCACACCGCGCTCTCGGAGTGCTCCAGCATGAGTCGGCTGCACGTCGCCGGGCGCAAACGACCGCAGCGACGGAGAAAACAGCGCATGCAAGCCATGTCGCGCACATCCTCGTATTCCTCCATTACGGACTCGACGATGTCGTTGAATATCATCACGGTGACGCTCAATATGGACACGGTGAACTTCCTGGGCATTTCGATTGTTGGACAGAGTAATAAGGGTGGAGATGGGGGGATTTATGTAGGATCTATTATGAAAGGGTAAGTGTTTTGTTGTTTTGGTTATTTTTTGTGTTTTTGGGTTTGTTTTTGATTGTTTTATGTTTTTTAGTGGTGCTGTCGCGTTGGATGGACGAATTGAGCCCGGCGATATGATTTTGCAAGTGAATGATGTCAACTTTGAGAATATGTCGAATGATGAAGCTGTGCGTGTCCTAAGGGAGGTTGTGCAGAAGCCCGGGCCTATTAAGCTGGTCGTGGCGAAGTGCTGGGACCCGAATCCTAAGGGGTACTTTACGATACCACGGACTGAACCAGTCAGGCCGATTGATCCAGGTAAAATTATTTTATTTAATTTTTTATTTAAAATTTGACGATTTTTTGGTTGATTTTTTGTTATAACTTGCGAAGAAATTAAGTTGGAGGGTTAGAAATTCTTTTAAATTGTAGTTATTTGAATTGTTTATTACTGTAGGCAATTATTTTCTGGAAAAATGCACGGAAAATTTATGAAAATTGTGATTTTTATAAGTTTTTTGAATTTTTTTTGCCTTTTCTGTGCGTTATTTTGCTATAACTTGCGTGTAAATGATCAAAAAGTCTTGTGTTTTACATTAAACTATAATTAATGATGTTGTTTATCACTGCAGGCATTCATTTTATTCAAAATTTCACGGAAAAGTGACGATAATTGCATTTTTTACAATTTTTTCCTCAATTTTTGAAAGTTTATTTTAGAAATTTTTGCTGTAACTTGCAAATAAACTAAGATAGAGACTTGGATTTTTTTAAATCATAGATATATCAATTGTCTATAGGCGTAGACAATTATATTATAGAAAATTTTACGGGAAGTTTAGGAAATTTATGATTTTTCTTAAGAATTTTTGCCTTTTTCGTGATTTTTTTGCTCTAGATTGCAAATAAATAACCCCAAAGTCTTCTATTTTGCATTAAACAATAGTTAATGATGTTGTTTATCACTCTAGATAATCATTTCATTTAAAATTCATCGAAAAAGTACCAAAAATTACAATTCAAATCAATATTTCTGACTTTTGGAAGTTTTTTTGCCATAACTTTCTTATAAACCAACGTAAATTCTTATAATTCATATAAAATTACAGACAATAACCTTCTCTACCACCATAAACTTTGTAGTTTATGTAATTTTTACACATTTTTTACCAAAAATTTCAACTTTTTTGTTCATAAAACTGAAACTTTCCTAATTATTATCCAGGTGCATGGGTGGCACACACAGCAGCCGTAAGAGGTGATCCAGTCGCACGCCCGCCCAGCAGCAGCACCGTCTCCAGCGCGTCCATAGCCAGCACCATCCCGGCGAACGAACGTGAGTGTCTGCTAGGTCCTGGTACGTTTCGCACAAATTTTTTGCATATTCTCCTCATGCTTTTCCGCTCGCACATTGCACAAACAACAAAAACAACCTCCTCTCTTCTCTTCTATAATCTTCTTCATGCTCAAAACCTCTCTGTTCACTGCTTTTGTTTGTAAATTTGTTTGTACATTTGTTTTGGTCGCTTTCATCACACATTGTATTATTGTTTCGCTCTCTCTGCTGCCGCTTCGAAATGTAGTGACTGGCGTGTTGGTAGATCTGGACGAGCCGCTGCACGTCTCGGCGCCGATGCACACGGTGGTGGCGGCGATGGCGCGCCCCGACAGCGGCCTGGAGATCCGCGACCGCATGTGGCTGAAGATCACCATACCGAACGCGTTCATCGGCACCGACATGATCGACTGGCTGCTGACGCACGTCGAGGGATTCCAGGATCGGCGTGATACGCGCAAATATGCGTCGCATCTCTTGAAGTCTGGGTTTATACGGCACACTGTGAATAAGATCACGTTCTCCGAGCAGTGTTACTATATCTTTGGGGATTTATGCGCGGCGATGTCCAGCTTGAAGCTGCAGGGGGATACGGACAGTGTGGGCCCGCTGCCGAATGTCCCGAATTACATGCCGTATTCGGGCACGTATAATCCGTTGGAGTATATGCCGATGCCGTTCTACACTGCCAGTGAGAATACTGTTTATGGGTATAATCGAGAGGAGAGCGTGCTTAGTGGTAGTGGTAAGTTTTTTTGGTATAACTTTTTAACGCGTTGGAGGAATTGCATAAGTTTTTGTTTAAAATGTTGAGAAAGAAAGACTCTACGTGGTTGGAATATAATTATGTACGAAAATTTATGAGAGAATGGTGAAAATTGCGTTTTTCCGAAGTTAGCGGTAGAAAATTTTGAGTTTTTATAGTTTTTTTTGTTATAACTTTTAAACCATTTGACTAAAATTGTTGAAATTTTTGTCAAAGTATAGCTTATGATGTGTTCTATAAGAACTATTTTAAATCTTAGTTTAAAAAGCTTAGGAAAGCGTCGAAAATTGCGTTTTTTTACAGAATAATTGCTGAAAATTTAATGATTTTTGAACTTAATTTGTTGATAACTTTTGAACGCGTCGGTGAAAATTTATCAATTTTAGTTTAAAATGTAGGCAAGAAAAGGTTCTACAAGGGATGATTATAAATGTTTAGGAAATTTTATGAGAAAATAGAGAAAATTGCGTTTTTCCAAAGTTAGCGGTAGAAAATTTTGGGTTTTTAAAGTTTTTTTTTGTTATAACTTTTGAATCATTTGACTAAAACAGTTGAAATTTTTATCAAAGTATAGCTAAAGATTTGTTCTATAAGAACTACTTTAAATTTTAGTTTAAAAAGTTTAGGAATGCGTCGAAAATGGCGGTTTTTACGGAGTAATTGCTGAAAAATTAATGATTTTTGAACTTAATTTGTTGATAACTTTTGAACGCGTTGGTGAAAATTCATCAATTTTGGTTTAAAATATAGGCAAGGAAAGGTTCTACATTGGGTGCCTATAAATATTCAGGAAAATTTATGAGAAAATTGTGAAAATTGCGTTTTTCCGAACTTAGTGGTAGAAAATTTTGTGTTTTTAACGTTTGTTTTTGTTATAACTTTTGATTTACTTCACTAAAATTGTTGAAATTTTTATCAAAATGTAGGTAAAGAGTAGTTCTATAAATATTCTCCTAAATTTTAGTTTAAAAAGTTTAGGTAATCGTCGAAAATTGCATTTTTTGTGAAATTTTAACCTAAAATTTGTGATTTTTCATCTTAATTTGCCAATAACTTTTAAACTAATTGGTATAAATCCATAAATCTTTCATTAAAATAAGTAGAAAAGAAAGATCTACAAGATCTACACATAAATATTAACATTCTTCCATGCAAAAACATAGAAAGTCATGTTTTTTTACTAAAAAACACGAAAATTTTAATCATTTTCATATTTTAAGGTGGATCTTCCGGTGGTTCCGAGCATTTGAAAGACGCAGCAGCCGCCGCACACAGCTCCGCCTCCGACAGCGACCTCACCTCCCTCGGCCCCCGCTCCGCCCTGCCCATGGCCGCCGGCAACAACGGCACCAGTATCGGCGGCGGCAATGGCAACGGCTCCTCGAACGGATCGGATCAGAGCAGCGGTACGCAGGTGGCGGCTCAGTCGAAGGATCTAGCCGGTAGTAGACAGTCCTTTAAGATCGCGATGGGCAATCCGTGCGAGATGTTTGTCGATGTCATGTAGAACTAGCACTATAACTAGCAACTCCGTAAACAGTTTGGTTAGGTTACAAATCATGCACGAGTACAACTTCACATTTGTGTAAATCATAACCATACTTTACTTCTTTTTTCTAATTTTTCTTGATATTTTACTTGTTTTAACCTATTTTTTTTTTTTTATTCAACTTCCAACTTGAGTGCCATATATTTCTTTCTTTTTTACTTTTCTACACTTTATTTCGTGTAAATACTTGTTTATTTATTCGATTATTGATTACAAAATCAATGTTTTGTTTAGTTATGCAGCCATTTAGCTTAGCGAGAGGAAATATTTGTAGGTTAGGTTAGATCACGGTTATGACTTGATTTAGTGACTCTTTATTTACGAGTTTTGTATGTTATTGTAATCGTAGTGTACGTATAAATGTCGCATGCTAATCTCTTGTGTTTTGTGCACCTGTGTAAGTTTAATATTACTGTTAATTTATTATATTTTCATCACCAACACAATAACCTCCAAATTATTGTGTTGTGATGAAAGAGGTTAGACGTATGTGTTGTTTGGATGTGTTTTTTTTATTTTATTGTGAATGTTTTTGGCCGCTGAAACACTGCGGATGCGGATGATTTGTGTTTGACGACGAACTTTTCTTTTCTGTTTGCAGTTTTAAGTTACCTGTAGTGCGCGCGCAACTACCGTTCATATCATCACAAACACACAAAACTCATAAACATTAAAAGTCTCTTTATATTATAACAATTTCCACAGACACACTGTATGTAAATGAAGTGCGATTGTAATATTCATCATCACAACCGTATACCACCGTATCGTAGCATAAGTTTTATCATTTGATGTTTTCTGGTAAGTGTTTTGCAAGTTTTCATAAGTATTTGTAATTTATTTATTTCATTATATTTGATTGTGTGGTTAATGTGGTTGTGGTTTTTGTTTGCAGATGCTGGTAGCCTGTGCGGATATCAGTTTGCGCAGACATAATCGCAATTCAAGACTGAAGAATTGGGAATTAATAATCGTTGCGACGAGTGACGAGATAAGTTTATGTAAGGATTTTCGAAGTGGCGAGAGAGGGTTTTGATGGTTGATTTGCGTGGTTAGCGACGATTGGGTTTTCGATTTGTGGGGTTGTTAATATTTTTGTACGTTTTCTACGTTCCTATATTGCCATTTAGTCGTTTGGGTACCTAAACTAGGGGAAAATGCGTAAAATTTGTGTTTTATGTTGGTTTTGTATTAATTATTCAGTGCGTTGCCAAAAATTCATCAAACTTGTATCAATTGACGGTTAAAGAATGGTTTTATCATGGGGAAGTATAAATTTGAAGGAAATTTGTGTGAATATGTTGAAAATTAAGTGTTTTGGCAGTTGGTGATTTTAATGCTCGTAATTTAGGTTTTTGGGCTTTAACTTTTGAACTATTTGTCAAATATTGATCAAATTTTTGGCAAAACCTAGATAAAGTCATGCTTTATCTCGGGGAGTATTAACTTTTTGTGAAAATTTGTGAGAAAATGTCAAAAATTAATTTTTTCGGAGGTTTTGCAGTTTATGCTTAAAAAAACAACTTTAGTTTTTTGGTCATAATTTTTGAGCCAGTTGTCGAATGTTTATCAAACTAGCATCAAAACATAGCCAAAGAAAAGCACTTACCTAGATAATATAAGATTTGAATGAATTTTGTTGTGAAAGTGCCGAAAATTTAGATTTTCTGTGAATTTTGCTGTTTTTGCGATAAAACTACCAACTTTTCTAGTTTTTTTCTTATAACTTTCGTATTAATCATGCAATATTCATCAAAATACATCAAAACATAGCCAAAGAAAAACTCTTTCATAATAAACTTACATTTATCCAAAAACTCATTTATAAATATTTAAAATCGCGTTTTTCACTAAAATTTACGTTAAAACTCACAATTTCAACATATTCTCTCATTTTCTCACTTAATCAATAATATTTCAACATAAATTTATAATTTTATACGTTCCTACATTGCCATTATCTAGTTAAGGTACCTAAACTCTCCAAAAATCGTGCAAAATGTATCACTAATCAAAGTTTGCTTCCCATGACTTGTTTAAACACATACATTATTCGTTTCGCGTATGAAATTAAGATATTCATAGTCCAGCTTAATACTGCATGAACTAACGATGTAATAATACGTAATTTATTATTCAAACAAACAAACAAAAGAAAAAATGTTGGCAAATAACGAAGCAAAAAAAAAACAACAACAACAATATTTCGCATTGCGGGGGCGAGATTTATACAATTGTGTACAGGGTAATTCAAAACAATGAGTTTTCTTGTGAATGTGTAATGTCTGCTTTACACTCGCCGTTAATTCTCGATAGTAGAACACAAAAAAAAAACAAAGAAAAAGAGAATAAGAAGATGTAAAAGAAATGTGGAATTTTACAGGGATATAGTTTTCTGTTTTGTGGATAGAATATTTCTCACACATTTCGGCGACCGACGGCGAACAACACAATGGAATGCAATAATTTAATTAGTCACTAAACTAAACGTAAATTATTTATAAAGAAAATACACGCAGGCGAAGACGAATTGCGCCGGCGAGTGCAATTTTTTTCCAGAAATAAAAACAAACGAATGTATACTATATAAAAACTTCAACGTTTGATTTATATTCTCTTGTATAAGTTGGGAGTGTAAATGTACATATGTTTAAATGCCACCAAGCCGATGAAGGAAAACAGGCGGTTTGGATGTTGATGGTGATAATTGGAGAAGATGGTTTTAACCGGTGACACGACGCGCTGCCGCCATTGCATTCTCGACGATGTTCTTCGCTTCTTCCCTGGGGACGTCGTTGTGGGCCGAGTCGCCGGATTGGTAGTAGTCACGCAGGTATGTTGATCCAGATCCTGAGCCATCTAATGATATATTTTTTGTATTATTGGGATTGTATTAGTAAACAGTCAATAAGCGTTGGGGACATTTTTTAATTTGATTTTTTACTTTATTTGCGTGTAACTTTTGAACGGGTTGACTAAATTTGATCAAATTTGTTTTAAAATGTGGATAAAGTAAAGATCTTGCACACTGAGGCTTAAAATGTTAGAAAAAATCCGTCAAAGTTTAAGAAATTAGGTTTTTTGTGTATTTTGATAGTAAATTTTGTGTTTATTGCGTTTTTCTGGAATAATTCTTACTCATGCTGGCAGATATTTATAAAATGTGTATGAAAGCATAACTGAGGAGATGTTGTATAGGATTTAACTTCAAATTATATGAATAATTTAGGAGAAACAGCAAAAAGTTGCGAAAAAATACGCTTTTCAACTTTACTGTTACAAAATTTGTTATATTCACATTCAATTGGCTTTAATTAGTAAACTCGTTGTCAAAAGTTTATGAAATATCCACTAAAACATAATTAAAGAAATGTTATACCATCTAAAACCTTGAAATTTCAGTGAAAAACTTGGAAAAAGCACAAAAAACTACGCCTTTCAAACTTAACGTTTAAAAAATGTCAACTATGTATCTAAACACAGCTAATAACTAGTTCCAATCAATTTGACTGAGAATTTCCAGAAAAACCAACGAGAAAATGTAAAAAAATGATTAAGATAACGCGAAAAATTCAATTTTTTCAAGTTTGCAGTTCAAAATTACTGATTTTTAACTATAATCAGCTGTAATTATTAAATTTTTCATCAGAAATTCATTAAATTACCATCAAAATATAACTAAAGATTCGTTCTACTGCATTTGACTTAAAATTTTAGCTCGAAAGTCAAAAAATCAGCTTTTTCTAAGTTGTTACAATTGGATAATAGGAGGGAAGAAATAACGGCAACAATTTGCTAATGCAGGATATAAATAGGAGTCAAAGGGGCACTGCGCTGCAGAAAAGACCTCATCACCTCTTGAAAACTATCTTATTGAATAACATAAAATATAACAAAAAATTCCAAGACTTTTTCAAAGCATCACCTTCGAGTGGTGTTCGCCGCAACCATAACAAATAATAAATGCGATCACTGGTTGCATCACGACAGTACCACCCTAGGCAATGCACTAAACATATGTACAATTTTCAGTCAGTCTGAATGTGAATATTGTTAACGTTATTTCTTCTCGAGAGTGTGGCGTGGAGAAAGGATGGCGCGGCGCGCGTACAAAAAGTGAAAAATGCATGCCATCTCGATGCGCCTCCGTCCTGATATCGCATTTGTCGCTAAACTACTTTACTACTCTGTAAAAACAGCGCAGAAATTGAGTATCACGCATTAGATTAAAATTAGTAGACAATTAAATGCTTACTTTTCAGTTTGTTGCTTTGATCGTCGAATTCTTTATCCTGGATATTCAACATGAGCGAATTTCCGCTGAGGTAGACACGATTTTGGGAATTTGCAATCTAAAAACATAATTTTAGCATAAAACATTAAAAAAAAAATATTTTAATGACTTACAGTCCTGGAAATGTTTTGTGCAGCACGAATCTTCCTCAGCTTCAAATAACCGGGATTACGACTGATTGCTTCACCTAAGTAATCATTAATTAAGGAAATATCATAAAATTACATAAATTATTAGTGTTTTTAAAGCAATGTTTAAAAAATGGAAAGGATATCATTTTAGCTGCTTCTGCTTCACCCTCAGCTTGGACAATCTTCTGCTGCCTCTCCTGCTTCGCCCTCTCAACGATAAACGCAGCACGTTGCGCTTCCTGCTGCGCGACCTGTTTACTCTCCACGGCGGCTGTATACTCCTTACCAAACGATAACTCAGTGATGGATGTATTATTGGGATTGTATTAGTAAACAGTCAATAAGCGTTGGGGACATTTTTTAATTTGATTTTTTACTTTATTTGCGTGTAACTTTTGAACGGGTTGTTTAAATTTGATCAAATTTGTTTTAAAATGTGGATAAAGTAAAGATCTTTCATCTTGGAGGCTTAAAATATCAGAAAAATATTCGTGAAGGTTTCAAAATTTTTTGTGCATTTTGATAGTAAATTTTGTGTTTTTCTCGATTATTTTGACATAATTCATACAGACGTTGGCAGAAATGTATAAAATGTGTATGAGAGCATAACTAAGGAGATGTTTTATAGAATTTAACTTCAAATTTTATGAATAATTTAGGAAAAAAGGCAAAAAATTGCGAAAAAATAAGTTTTTCAACTTTACCGTTGCAAAATTTTGTTATTTTCACACTCAATTGGCTTTAATTTGTAAACTCGTTATCAAAAATTTATGAAATATCTACTAAAACATAGCTAAAGAAGGGTTATACCATGTAAAACCTTAAATTTCAGTGAAAAACTTAGAAAACACGCTAAAAACTACGTTTTTCAAGCTCAATGGTTATAAAAATGATTTTCATTTGAAATTACCGGTAATTATCAAACGCGTTATCAAAAATTTATCAACTATGTATCAAAACACAACTAATGAGTAGTTATAATGAATTTAATCGGAAATTTCGAGAAAAACTAACGAGAAAATGCAAAAAATGACAAAATAACGCGAAAAATTCACTTTTTCAAGTCAGCAGTTCAAAATTAGCGATTTTTAACTTTAATTAGCTGTAATTATTAAATTTTTCATCGGAAATTCATTAAATTACCATCAAAATATCACTAAAGATGCGTTCTACTGCATTTGCCTTAAAATTTTAGCCCGAAAGTCAAAAAAATCAGCTTTTTCTAACTTGTTTTTCAATTGGATAATGGGAGGGAAGAAATAACGGCAACAATTTGCTACAAACAGGATATAAATAGGAGTCAAAGGGGCACTGCGCTGCAGAAAAGACCTCATCACCTCTTGAAAACTATCTTATTGAATAACATAAAATATAACAAAAAAAAACGCACAATGTCGCGTAATTTTCAAGACTTTTCCAAAGCATCGCCCCGAGTGGTGTTCGCCGCAACCATAACAAATAATAAATGCGATCACTGGTTGCATCACGACCCAACCACCCTAGGCAATGCACTAAACATATGTACAATTTTTCAGTCAGTCTGAATGTGAATATTGTTGACGTTATTTCTTCTCGAGAGTGTGGCGTGGAGAGAGGATGGCGCGGCGCGCGTACAAAAAGTGAAAAATGCATGCCATCTCGATGCGCCTCCGTCCTGTTATCGCATTTGTCGCTAAACTACTTTACTACTCTGTAAAAACAGCGCAGAAATTGAGTATCACGCATTGGATTAACAATATAAATCAATTTATGGCTTACTTTTCAGTTTGTTGCTTTGATCGTCGAATTCTTTATCCTGGATATTCAACATGAGCGAATTTCCGCTGAGGTAGACACGATTTTGGGAATTTGCAATCTAAAAACATAAAATTTAAACAAAAACATCGAAAAAAATAATATTTTAATGACTTACCGTTCTGGAAATGTTTTGTGCAGCACGAATCTTCCTCAGCTTCAAATAACCGGGATTACGACTGATTGCTTCACCTAAGTAATCATTAATTAAGGAAATATCATAAAATACTTAAACTATTAATATTTTTAAAACAAAAAAATGAAAAGGATATCATTTTAGCTGCTTCTGCTTCACCCTCAGCTTGGACAATCTTCTGCTGCCTCTCCTGCTTCGCCCTCTCAACGATAAACGCAGCACGTTGCGCTTCCTGCTGCGCGACCTGTTTACTCTCCACGGCGGCTGTATACTCCTTACCAAACGATAACTCAGTGATGGACACATCATCCAGGATGATATTGAAGTCTCTAGCGCGTTCTACAAGCTCCCTACGCACCAATAACGACACCTAAAACATAAAAAAACATAAATCATGTTAGAATCTTAATTTTTACTAATTAATTTACTAATTTTTGATGTTTTTACCTGTTGACGTTGTGTAATCAACTGTGCAGCGTTGAATTTCGCCACGACTGACTTCAGCACTTCATTACAGATCGACGGCAGGACTTTTTCGTCGTAATCGAGACCAAGTTGCCGGTACATATTCGGCAAGTTCTGCGAATCAGGTCGGCTGAGCACACGCAGCGAGATATTCACCATCTGCAAGTCTTTGGAGCCGGTGGGTGAGGAGATCTTCCTCGGACGTGAGCGGATATCGTAGATAATCGGATATTGGAACCATGGCATGCGGAAATGCAGTCCTTCAGTGTAGATTTCCTTCTGGATGCCGCCGATGCGGTTGAAGATGATCGCGCGATGGCCACCATCAACTAAAATGATTCATATGGGATTATTTATGTGTTTTATTGTTTAGTTTATGTTGTATTTACCAGTGTACATTGATTGTGAGACGCCGTAGGCCGCGACGCCGCCGAGCGCGAGCAGTTTCAGCCCGATGCCGAGACCGGGCGGGCCGCCCTTACCAAACTTGCCGGCGAGGTCATTCAGTTTGCTTTGCGCCATTGTGGTCACTCAGTGATGCTTCGCTATGTGACAAAGAGCAGATCGACGATGATTTTTGAGCGTGACGCAACTTTTATGCCTACGAGCCGGCCGAAAACGTGCTTCTCACAAGGCTCGCACACACGGATAATGGCCGACCACCGAATCCACTAGATTGCTGTCAAAATCTATTCTAGGGGAATTTAGCTGTCACAACTGTCTTCAACAATCATCAAAAAATAAGTAAGCATTAAATAGTATTATTATTCATTATAATTGTGTAATTATTATAAATTACACAAACAATACATTCAATAACAATATACTCATGTATTTAATTGCAGTGTAAATATTTATTCTTATTGTAATGGAAAATAACTTGTGTCATCACTTAGTATATCAGCAAAATCTGTCAAGGTCACCTCAAATTATTTGCTGTGCCAGCTGATGAATCAAGTTTCAATGCAAATGCATAGAAACAAAATTACAAATCACAAAACGTCTTTCACTCTACGATCGGAAAGACAACAACTGATAACACTGTGTGCTTTGTTCTCAGTGACCCGCATGTTCACGCACTTTGCTTCCAGTCATCGTCTAGTGAGCTACGCTTAGAATAAAAAAAACTCTACCGACTTGATTTCTAATCGAAATTTGTTGATAAATTTAAACAAATTCGCTTTTACAATGGCTTGGACGTCTTATCAACTCTCGCTGGCGTTCATGATGGTAATCACAGGCAGTATAAACACTTTAAGCACAAAGTAAGTAATAAAACAATAAAAATGTAGATTTTTATGTTTTTTGTGTGTTTTTTTACCAAAAAAGTGCGTTTTTTTAGGTGGGCGGATGATTTAAAGTCTGTGGGACGTGATGGCACACTCCGCGCGTTTGATCATCCATTCATGCAAGCATCCAGCATGTTTCTGGGCGAGATTCTGTGTTTGGTCACATTTAAAATCATGTATTTTATTTATTCTAAACAAGGTGTAAGTATTTTGCATAAATATTTATTTATTTCAAGCTAAAGTGTAAGGAAAATACTTGTAATTTACTATAGATTATTATTTAACAATATTTCATCAATAATTTTCAAGAATTTTCATTTTATTTGACATTTTTATTAAAACATAACCTAAAATGACTTCTACTCAATACTTTTCTTCATTTTTTATGAATTTGGATGTTTCCACAGGTTGAGAATGAGAAAGCACTCACAAAAGGCAACAGAAACTTCAACCCGTTCATTTTATTCATCCCTGCAATGTGCGACATGACAGCCACTTCGATAATGTACGTTGGATTAACAATGACCTACGCCTCGAGTTTCCAAATGTTTCGCGGCTCTGTCATCATCTTCGTCGGTTTGCTCAGCGTCGGATTCCTCGAGCGTATCCTAAAGAAACGCGAATGGGCTGGAATATTCATGGTTATCGTCGGTTTGACGACTGTAGGCGCAGCGGATTTCATGTTCTCGCCAAAAGGCGAAGATAACCCCGATAGAAACTCGATAATCACCGGGGATATTCTGATTATCATCGCGCAGGTGATCACGGCGATACAGATGGTAGTCGAGGAGAAATTCGTGACTGGACAAGACATTCCGCCGTTGCAAGCGGTCGGATGGGAAGGTTTATTCGGATTTATTGTTCTAAGCTTACTGCAGATTCCGTTTTATTTTATTCATGTTGGTCCGCCGTTCAGTAACAACTCGCGGGGGGTTTTAGAGGATGCTATTGAGGGTTTCATACAGATAGGGAATAATTGGCGGCTGTTTTTCGCCATTATGGGTACGATTATCTCGATTGCGTTCTTTAATTTTGCTGGGATTAGTGTGACGAAGGAGATGTCGGCCACGTCGCGGATGGTTTTGGATTCGGTGCGGACGATTGTCATCTGGATTGTTGGATTGTTGTTTATGCATCAGTCGTTTATTTGGTTACAGGTGAGTTTTTAAAATTTATAAATCAATAAAAAGTTGCATTTTTTTAGTAAATTGAACTTTAAAGTTGAATATCTTTGATAAAACTTAATATTTTGAAAAAAATCTTTAATACATATAAAGATACACTTATTAACTATTATTGTTTAAAGCTTCATGAAAATACAATCAAAATTACTGAAGTTATACAAGTTTTACTAAAAAATTGCAAAAAATCAAAATTTTTAGTCAAACTACAAAGTTTAAACTTAAATATCTTTGACATAAATTAATATTTTCTAAAAAAATTTTAATATGTAGAAAGATACACTTATTAACTATTATTCTTTCAAATTTCATGATATTTTAATTAATATTACAAAAGTTATACAAGTTTTACTAAAAAAATGCAAATTTACACTAAAAACAAATATAATTCTAACATTTTTATGTTTTTAGCTCTTTGGCTTCATTGCACTGCTAATAGGAATGTGTCTCTACAACGGAATCACTTGTAGATCGGTGATAATTCGTTTGAGGATGCTTTACACTCGAATTAGATACGGCAGCATGCAGGATGAGGTTATTATCAACACGCCGGCGGACCAAGCGGACGACCCGATCATTTTCGCTTGATTTAGTCTAGTTAATTAGCTTGGAATACTGCTATCATTGATTATTATTGTGTATGTATAATTATTACTGACAAAGATCTATATTTTATTAATGTGTACGATGTAAGATGGGATTTGAAGACTTGTTGGACTAAGTTGCAGCTTGGTTCCGAAAATTGTGTGATTTGACCTGATAGAGGTAGGAAAAGAATATGAATTAATGAATATTTAGACGATTTTTATTAACTGAAATGATATAGGTATATTATTTGAAGAGTAAATTACTAAAAAAGTAAAATTTAGATCTTTTTATGCTTTTTTTGTAGTTTTTGAAGAGATTTGATGCAAGTTAAAAAAAAAATGTGATTTTATGACGAATATATACTTTCATTGACTATTTATGTTGTATATAACGTTTATTTATTGTTATATTGTTATATTTTTGCGTTAAAGTAACAATTTGTTTTATTTAATTTGAATTAGTACATCCTAGCGACATCTACATTTGAAGTTTTGAGTTATGTGTAAAAATTGCTACTCGTTTAGACAGGGTGGGGCATGCGCAGTTGCGTGTACGTGTGACACACGGACACGGCCATTTAACTGCGTGACCTTTCACTGACTCATACGCAATCGCACACTGCCTCATATGCACGCCAAACTTTTTGTAACACTTTGTAGTTTCTTGATGTACTGTAAAGGATCATCAGGTGGCGCAACGATGCATGTTTTAACGAAAAATATTCCTGCGAGTGAAAGTCGGCGTGCACAGTTGTTGTGTAGCCGGCACACAACTCTTACTTCGTGCGATAAGTGATAATACTTAAATGAGTATTCGTGTTTCTCGTGTTGTAAATTCGGTGTATCGCGTTTTGCTTGATTGAATTTAGTGTTAATTGTCGTGTTTGGTTCTTCGCTAAATATTTATCGCGTGTGTAATCTCGGGGACTCATTATTTTGTGTGTTTATTACATTTTTGCGTTTATTCGGGATCGGTTGCCGTCGGACGCCGGCCGGCCATGTTGTGTGATTGTAAATAATATTTTGGACGTGTGTGAATCGTTTTTGTCTTCAGCAGAACTTGACGGGCGACTGTTCTACCTGGTAAGTATTTAAATTATTATTTTGATAATTGTGAAGAATAAGACGATATATAAGGCACACTTTGGATTCCGACGGAACTCAGATTCATTTCAACATTGTCCGAAATTGTGTAACTAATGTTTTGTTTCTTGTTTATTTCAGTATCTACTCGCATTTAATTCTGCGGTGTTCGATGTACTCGTAAGTGAAATTTTTATTTTTATTGTCATAGTATTTGTTTTTTGGTACCGTTTCTTTCCGTTTTCCTGCAATTAGAAAATTGATATCTTAAACTTTCAGTGGAAATTTCGTGCGAGCATTCCACAGAAACTTTGATAATGGAAATTCACATTTTTTTATTGCGGATGCTTCCATAAACATTTTATCATAGTAAAATTTTACTGTAGGATTCATAGTTTTCCCGCAATTTGATCAAATGTGAACTTTCATTTTCCACCGAAAAATTAAATTTGTTAATTTAAAGTTTTTATTTTGGAAGTTGCTATAGATGGACCCCCTGAGCATTTTATTTTAGTAAAATTTTACTCTTGAATTCATAGTTTTCCCGCAATTTGATCAAATGTGAAAGTACTTTTCCACAGTAACATAAAAGTTGAAAATGTATAATTTTTTCTACTGAAGTTGCAACAAAACGTTTATCTGATCCTTTTATTTTAGTAAAAATTGTCTGTAGAATTTACGGTTTTTCCGAAAAAATGCAATAAATAGTTGGATTTGTTCATTGCTTAAATATAAGTCAAAATAGAATAGAAACAAAACATGCTTGAATTAAATATCACTTAAATATTTAATGTAAAATCGGTCAATCTTTTAGCATAAGAAATCAATTTCATGATTTAAATTTTATTGTTTTATTAATTTTATTAATCTAAATTCCGGTACTACTATCTGTAGCATTCGGAGATGGCACTAGCCTGAACTAAAAAGCATAAAATCGAATTGCTTTGTTTATTTCTGTTTTTATCAGCAAACGTGAATATTCGGCACGAGAATTGTGTTTGTTTTGAACACAATTCACTCTTTCTTATCGCTTAGTCGCCGCGCGGAATGCAGCGCATGAGATTTCAGAGTATCGTCGTTGAAATCCCCTCACCCCACGTGCAGCATATTCTAGTTTAGTTTAGATCGCATGTATTGTGCCTATTGCAATTCGTACACAAGGTCGCGTGTCATCGACGCACCGGCTTTGCGCATCTATTGCAAGTCGCGGACAAGATCGCGTGCCGTCGCGCGTGCCATCGCGCAATATGGCTTTGCGCATCTATTGCTTTTACCTGCGGGGTTCATGCAGCAGGCACATTCGAGTAGTCTTATCGTGAAATGCCGCGTCGTTGCTTGCTCGGCTTTAATATGTGCAATCATAGCCAGTTTCATGTCGGTCTCTAGTTCGTCGTTCAGACGCGTATCTGCCAGTTGCAACTGGCGGTAATAGTAACCTGTTAATAATTGTTTGCGCGTTTAATGTCCATAAATGCTTTTTTACTTCCGTTTGATATTTATATTCCAAATTACGCGAATGCTACGGTTTTGTATTGTCGGTTAGTTGTGTGATCGCTGTCGGTCGCTGGATAACCGGCAACATATTCCTGCGTGATGTTGTTTTCGTCCTCCTTCGTGCTTGAGTAAGTTACTTTATTCACCATAGTAATACTCAGCACAGAATGTTTGTTTTCTCCTGGATGTGTCAATATAATATTATTATATTGTACGTACGATTTTATTTTACCGTTTTTAATTGGCAGTGCTTGCCGCACCTGCAATCCGATGAGCGCTGAATTGCGGGTAAGTTGATAATTAAATTATATTATTACGTCACATGTTTTACCTGTATTACCTCATACCTGCGTGTTGCAGTAGTTCGCGAATTAACGGTGCCATTTCAATTTTACTTGCGCGTAGTTATCGCAAACAAAGGAACGAAAGTGTTTGTGAATTTTTCATGCATTTTTCAAAACACGCGGTGGAAAATAGGCCATATCTCGGGAACCTCTTCGTGAGTATTTTCAAGTTCGCTATATTTTATGATAGAGTGAGTGCATCTTTAAGATGCAACCCCGGAACCCCCGCGAAATTCGGTGGTAACTGCCTCAAAATGGCCGCCAAAGTTTCCGTCTTTTCTTGCATTTTTCAAAACACGCGGTGGAAAAACAGGCCATATCTCGGGAACGCTTCTGTGATATTTTCGGGTTCGTTACATTTTATCATAGAAAAGAGTGCATCTTTATGATGCACCCCGGAACCCCGCGAAATTCGGTCCCAACTTTCGCCTCAAAATGGCCGCCAAAGTTTGCCCCTTTTCTTGCATTTTTCGAAAACACGCGTGGAACAGCCATATCACCGGAACGCTTTGTATATTTTCTGTAGCTCATACATGTTTGCACCGCAACAGAAAAGGCGGAAGTTTCCAACTTTCACGAATTCGGTGTTGTGCGTTTATTTAGTGCCGATAGTGCGTCGCCGGGAACTTAGACAATAAATACAATTAAGCTATACAATAGTGCAATCACAAGCATTAACATCGTAATATGTATATCAACACCCTTAATGTTTGAAAGTACAGTAGTTACGTAGATACAGTAGATAGTAAAACACATTTGCAGATGAGCAAGGGTCCATCACGTCACACACTTGACTCTGAAAGCGGAATAATTATATATATATCGCTGTATAGTACTTAAGCTATCTTAAGATTACAAATTACGAAGGGTCACTGCCCTTTGGGCAAGTATGTACGCAAAGTTTTGCACTTAGACATTTTTGGATGAATAAAGTAGTAGTTACCGAGCAAGCATCGAGTGAAGATCGCCTCACTTCTCCGAGAATCTCTAAGACTCTCCGCTGCCTTACAACCAGCGTAAAATCCACACATCAATCCTTCTGCTCTCAGCTTTGAACCCGGCGCCATCTTCAGAGCGCACGCTGGCTTCACACTACATTTTATCATAGGAAAAGAGTGCATCTTTAAGATGCACCCCGGAACCCCCGCGAAATTCAGTCGGAACCGCCTCAAAATAGCCCCGAAAGTTAGGCGTTATCATGCATTTTTCAAAACACTCGGTGGAAAGCAGGCTATTGGTGTTATTCTGAGCAGCACCCGAAGTGCCGTACTGTCGAACGAAGGCAAATTGCAATTCTGAGTGCCCAACGGAGGTCTTTTGGAGGGTTCGGGTCGCCTCAATTTTTCGGAGCAGCTTGAGGGTGCCGGATAGCTTTCGTAACATGTTATACGCATGCGTTGCCTTCTTGGCGCGGGTGAAACTGCCTTACCGCAGCTCTTCGTTCTCACTCGCACCCGCACTCGTTGTCAGCCGTCTCAGTCTTCGCCTATTCATCGAAATTGAAAAGTGAATATTTTGACGAGCCGTGTGCTCCAGCAGATGTGAAAAAGATGAAGATGACAAGGAATTGTACGCATCGAGTGTATCTGTATTTTTCAAAATGCAAAATATCCACGTTTTCGCTAAAAAATTTCAAATTTAAAAAACTCGTAAAACCAATAAATTTATATGAATATTTTGGTTAATTTTTCAAGTATTTGCTGATAATGAGCCAAATACGCATATAAAAAGATTATTTATATTTTTGATTGTGTTTCTTCAAAGGTAATTTAAAATCAAAGTAAATGAACAATAAATAACTTTCTTGACATGACTTTTCAAACGTCAGTATAGAACCTGAATAGAAATACGGCATTAAATAATATTATTTGTTGCACATTGATTTGAAACTCGCGCGCTTTCTTGTCAAATTCTATCGTGCAGCGGTTGACTTTAGGTAAAGTTACAGATGAGCGCACCGAATACCACTTAAGGCCTATCCATAATCTCTGCCGTACGAAGGCCCTGGAGCTTTCGTAATGTTCGTTTGTGGCAAGTGGTGACACAGAATCGCAACTATACTCGGAACCCTTTGCGATAATTTAGTTTTTTCTTCATTTTATGATAGGGCAAGAGTGCATTTTGTAAAACACCCGATGGAAAACAGGCCATATCTCGGGAACCTTTTGTAATATTGTAGGAATTTCTCGATTTACTTTTAATTCTGTATCACCCTGTATTGAAATGTATTGCCAGAAAATTCCATAACGCGAGTTATATTGATAGTTGTGTGTATACGCACTTGTACTCATTGCGCTAGGAATTGTAGTTCTTTTGTTATAACACGCGAACGCGGAGTCATAGTAAATTCGAAATTATGTTTTCTGATGCAGAATTTAATTCTGTATCACCCTGTATCGAAATGTATTGCCAGGAAATTCCGTAACGTGAGTTATATTGATAGTTGTGTGTATAC